CGAGTGGTTTAAAAATAACAGCAGTCTGAAGTTAGTCGCATTTTTTTTAATCTCATCCTGTATTTTTATTGGTAACATATAGTGAAATTTGATGGAGAATATTATTTGTCTTTCACGCGATCCTTCTAAAATGATTCTTTGTGGGAGAATTTAGCATAAATTCACATAAAGTACGGTTTTAACCCTCAAATGAGTTTTTAATATTTAACAATTGCTGGAGTTTTGGTAAAATTTAGAGTTTTGATGTATTCTGTGACCTATAGTAGAATTTTCTGACAAATAATTTTGTAGAATAATTTGACTTGCTACGATCCTGTTTAAGGGGAGTTTTTAAGCATATCTTGAAAGAAAGGCCCAAAAAGACCCCCTTGTTCGCTTGCTTGTGGGTTACAATTTTCAACCAAAATAATCCTCGTATTGTTGTCTTTTATATTGCCGAAGCCACTCTATACCTTAAATGCACGGATTCCAAGTAGTCCTAATTTCAAAGAAAGAGGGGGAACATGCCCCAATTTTTATTTTTAATATTTATGAATTCCTCGTGTTTATTTTGACTTGCTACGATCCCGTTTAAAGGGAGTTTTGAACCATATTTTGAAAAATGATACTAAAAAGACCCTATTTCTTGGATTGCTTGTGGGTTAAAATATTCATCCAAAATATTCCTCGTATTTTTATCTTTAATATTGCCAAAACTACTATATACCTTAAATGCACGGATTCCTAGGAGTCTTAATTCGAAAATTTCAAAAAATGTTCGGAGGGGGAACACGTCCCCACATTTTTTTAATATTTATGAATTCCTGGCGTTTAAGTCAGATCTAGACTTTCGACATCTTCTGAGACCTATAGTAAAATATTACGACGAACAATTTTCCAGAATATTTTGACTTGCTACGATCCCGTTTAAAGGGAGTTTAGAACCACATTTTGAAAAAGAGACCAATAATACACCTTTCCTGGCACGCTAATGGGTTAAAATTTTCAACCGAAATATTCCTGGTATTGTTGTCTTTAATATTGCCAAAGCCACTATACTCTTTAAATGGCCGGATTCCAAGGAATCCTTATTCGAAACTTTCAAAAAAATGTGCTGGAGGGGGGTATGATCCAGACTTTTGATATCTTTTGAGACCTATAGTAAAATATTATGACAAACAATTATTCAGAATATTATAACTTGCTTCGATCCTGTTTAAAGGGAGTTTTTAAGCATATCCTAAAAATGGCCCAAAAAGACCCCTTTGTTGGCTCGCTTGTGGGTTAAAAATTTTAACCCTAATAACACTCGTATTGTTATCTTTAATATTGCCAGAGACACTTTGCACTTTTAATGGCCGGATACCAAGGAATTCTTATTCGAAAATTTCAAAAATGTTGTAGAGGGGGGGAAAATGTTCCCTCAATTTAGTTTGCTTTGCCATGCAAATTTTCAAAACGCCGATACACTTGTCTTCTTTTTTTAGCTCTAATTTCATAATCTATTAAATTTTTCTGTAATTATTGATAAAATTGAATTTTGTCGACCAGTTTTATTGAAACCACGGTCCACCTTTTTTTGCCACAATGGGTGGATACATGCCTGTGTTTGTTCTTGAGGTGGGTTAGGGCGAATCTCTTGCACTGGGATTCTGCGTTACTTTCGCGTAACATTTGTTTGTAGTGTTTTTTGTTTTTTATTGAATGTTGAGTCAAACATTCAGTAGTTTAGCACGTGACTTATTGAGAAAAGCTTTCTTATCAGTGGCGCCCAATGCGCATGACAGGCTATGCACGATGTCAACAAACATTTTACGCGCTCTCTCTCTCTCTCTCACGTTCAAAGAGCTTTAACATAGCTCCTTACAATGTTAAAGCTTGAACTTTGAAAACTGTGTTTTCTTTAAATTTAAAAAAATCAAGCGGAATCTTATTTTATGTTTCAAACTCAAATATTGTCCTTTTCGCTGATAAAATATTGCACAGTTTTGTTAGTCTTTTGTTTTGGTTTTTATATTTCGAGTGCTGTTACTGGGTCAGTAGCATGCAATTCACATTGACTGTGTGTGTTGTGTTGTGCTGGCCCTTTAGGCTGTGGCTAAAAGCTTTCCTAGTCTATGTGCAAGGTTTTCTTAAGGAGCGAAACATTTATGCGACAGTTTGATACTTGAATCGAGCAGCAAGGACCTCTAATCATTTTGCAATACAATGGAAGTAACATATCCATTACACTGCCACCGGTAAAGACATCTTGATAGTCCATTTACCCCAAAAGATAGGAAGCATGAAGTACGTTTGCCTTTTGCGAGGATAAAATCTTAGATTTGAAGGTAAAGTGTTACGAGGATGAGTGCAAAGGATATGAGTGTAGGGCGGACGGAATGTCACTGATAATATTATTTTTTATACAAAATCTGGACTTAGACATTTTTTCCCAACCCCTAATTTTTATACCCTTAGCCATATGGCTAGAGAGGGTAGATATCATTTGATACGGCCAAAACGTGCCTCATCGAAAAAACGGCTTTCGACCCTAGGTCTTTTTGGACCAAATCCGTTTCAGAACATTTGGAGCCGATCAAGCGATGTTCGTCCATCCGTCTGTCTGCCTGGCTGGTGTGCACCATAACTTTCGAAGTGAGTATCCGATTTGGTTCAAACTTGGTACATCGTAATATTATTATCAAACTTAGATCGAGTTCGAAGATAGGCAATATCGGTCCCCTTATTCTGGTACCTCCCCCAGAAAAGGTCGAAATTATCAAAAAATATTTAGCTGTAAAGAAAAAGAGAAAGGATTATCCGATCTCCAACTTTGCAAATCCTAATATTTGCATCAGTGCTAGGTCAGGTGCGAAAATGGACAATATTGGTCCACTCCATGAAGGACCTCCCCCACAAAAGGTAAAAATTTTGTATGATTTTAACTCCTATAAAATGTGAAGTAAGAGTCCGACTGTCGTCAAATTACACACATCACAATATTTTTACAAACCCAAGGTCTGGTGTGAAGATGGAATATATCGGCCCACTCCTTCTAGTACCTCCCCCACAAAGGGTCAACATTTTGAATATACATGGAGCTCATAAAATGCAAAATTAACTTCCGATTCTATTCAAACTTGGTATATCTCAACATTTCCTTCAACACAAGGTATTTTATAAAGATGGTAGAAATCGGACCACTCCTTCTCCCCCATAAAGGATCAAAGTTTTGAAAACGATTACAAAATCCGAAAAAGCATTCGATTCTCTTCATATTTCACAGATCGCAATATTTTTGTGAACCCAAGGTCTGGTGTGAAGATGGAATATATCGGCCCACTTCTTCTGGTACCTCCCCCACAAAGGGTCAAAATTTTGAATATTCGTGAAGCTCACAAAACGCTAAATTAACTTTCGATTCCATTCAGACTTGACGAATCTCAATAGTTCTATCAACGCAAGATCTGTTATGAAGATAATAGAGATTGGACCGTTTCTTCTGGTACCTCCCCAAAAAAGGGTCAAAGTTTTGAATAACTAAAACGATTATAAAATTCAAACAAGGCATCCGGTTCTCTTCATATTTCACACATCACAATATTTTAATGAACCCAAGGTCTGGTGTAAAGATGGGATAAATCGGTCCACGCCTTCTGGTACCTCCCCCCCAAAGGGTCAACATTTTGAATATCCATAAGACTCATAGAACGCGAAATTAATATCCGATTCCATTCAGACTTGGCACATCTCAATATTTCCATCATAAGAAGACCTGTTATAAAAATGGTAGAGATCGGACCAGTCCTTCTGGTACCTCCCCCACAAAGGATCAAAGTTTGAATAACTAAAACGATTATAAAATCTGAAATAAGCATACGTTTCTCTTCATATTGCACACATCACAATATTTTTATTAGCCCAAGGTCTGGTGTAAAGATTGGATATATCGGTCCACTCCTTCTGGTACCTCCCTCACAAAGGGTGAAAATGTTGAATATCCATGAGACTCATAGAACGCGAAATTAACATCTGATTCCATCGAACTTGGCACATCTCAATATTTCTACCAACACAAGATCTTTTATAAAGATGGTAGAGATCGGACAATTCCTTCTGGTACCTCCCCCAAAAAGGATCAAAGTTTTGAATTACTAAAACGATTATAAAATCCAAAATAAGAATGCGGTTCTCTTCATATTTCACACATCGCAATATTTTTATTAACCCAAGGTCTGGTGTAAACATGGTAAAGGTCGGAACATTCCTTCTGGTATCTCCCCACAAAGGGTCAAAGTTTTGAATAACTAATACGATTACAGAATCCGAAATAAGCATCCGATTCTCTGAATATTTCACACATCATAATATTTCTACTAACACAAGATCTGTTCTGAAAATGGAATATATCGGTACTCTGGTACCTTCCCAACAGAAGGCCAAAATCTTAAACACCTTTGAAGCTTGTAAAATGCGAAATTAACATCAGATTCTATTTAGACTTGGCGCTTTTGAATAATTCTATCAACACTAGATCTGTTATAAAGATGGTGGAGATCGGACCATTTATTCTGGTACCTCCCCCACAAAGGGTCAAAATTTTGAATAAGTAAACGATTATAAAATCCGAAATAAGCATCCGGTTCTCTTCATATTTCAAATATCCCTTTATTACTTCTAACTCAAGATCTGCTGTGGAGGTGGTATATACCGGTCCACTCATTCTGGTACCTCCCCCACAAAGGGTCAAAATTTTGAATATCCATGAAGCTCATAAAACGGGAAATTAACATCCGATTCCATTCAGACTTTGTATATCTCATTGTTTCCATCAACACAAGATCGGCCATAAAGATGGTACAGATCGGACCATAATTAAAACGATTATAAAATTCGTAATAAGCATCCGGTTCTCTTCATATTTTTTTAGTAACCCAAGGTCTAATGTACAGCTGGTAGAGATCGACCAATACTTTTTTACTTGTTTTTCTTTTTTTTTTTTGTAATATTTATTAGCAAATAAAAAATAAAAAAAAATATTCTTAAAATTTAATAAACGAGTGTTATGAGTCTAAAATCCTAAAAAATTGTACATTCGTTTCGTATAGCCTCTTTATACAATAGAAAAAAAGTATGGCACCAAATTGCCAATAAATGTGCATTATTCCTCATCCAATTCCATTCGTCTTATCCCCATGTCCTTTGTTAACTCTGATCCTTGGCCACATTTTCCTCTTCGTTGCCACCACCAGCGCCGGAATTTTCTTCATCAGGATTACCACTGGATTGATCCACATTTTGATTCTGCAAGAAATTTCAAGAGAGTTATTCAGCACTTTATAAAATGTGAGGATTCATAAAAGATAGGGTGCCGGAGACTTACCTTCTTAGTTGGACAATTGGCAAACAGATGATCATCCTGCTTGCATAGATGACAACGTTTGGGCTGGGGTCCTAGATGACACTTCGAGGCAATATGATTGGCAAATTCGCCGCAGTTGTAGCAGCGTACACGTCGATGACGTTTCTTGCTGCGCGGTCGAAATGTACTGCCATGACAATCACTACCTGCAAGGGAGATAGGATTAGATGTTGAAATATTAAAATACGTATTAATTCAATCATACCTTGTATTCCAGAGACCCTGGTGGCCTCAAGACCCCTTTCGGTTAAATGACACTCGAATTCGACTTCTTCCTGCTCACCCAGTGAACGGAAGCCGGACATTTGTATTATGCTCTGAAAATTAGAAAATTATTTTTTTTGCGAATTTTGGTTAAATATATTGTTGCGAATTCAAATCGAATAGATTGTGGGTAATTTAGATAATTTTCTGTTGAATTGTAAGGTAATTTTTTTATGGAGTTCCTTTAATCGGTTTATAGCAACTATAAAATTTCTTTCCCATACTTCTTTCTTTATGTATTAGTCTTAGCTTTGACTGAATCGCTCCAGCTAACTCGTATTTAAGCGTCCTCATCTACACTTGATATCTTTGATAATCTTAATCCTGATTGTGGTTATTGTATTTTCTTTCCCATACTTCTTATGTATCATTCTTAGCTTAGACTGACTCGCTCCTGCTCACTCGTATTTATATGTCCTCATCTTCTACACTTTGTAGCTTCGAAAATCTTAATTTATATTGAGGTTGTTTTATTTTCTTTCCCATACTTCTTTCATAATGTATCAGTTTTAGCTTAGACTGACTCGCTCCTGTTCACTCGTATTTATATGTCCCCATCTTCTATACTTGGTAGCTTCGAAAATGTTAATCCACATTGTGGTTTTTGTATTTTCTTTCCCATAATTCTTTCTTTATGTATCACTCCTGGCTTTGACTGAATCGCTCAAGCTCACTCGCATTTATACATCCCCATCTACACTTAATAGCTTCGAGAATCTTAATTCTGATTGTGCTTATTGTATTTTATTTCCCATAATTCCTTCTTAATGTATCAGTCTTAGATTTGACTGACCCACTCCTACCCACTCGTATTTATACGTTCTCATCTACACTTGGTAGTTTCAAGAATCTTAACCCAGATTGTGGTTGTTGTATATTCTTTCCTATACTTCTTTCTTTATGTGTCAGTTTTAGCTTTGAATGACTCGTTCTTACTCACTCGTATTTATAAGTGATCATATACACTTGGTAGTTTCGAGAATCTTAATCCAGCATGTTCTGCAATATTCCAATTAAATATAAACAACGTTCATTAAAAATAATAATGATGTCATAAATACATTTTTTCTCTCACTCGTATTCATAATAATTTTGCCCTTGTTATTTTCATGTCTTACTTCCTTGTATGTGTGTGTATTTTCGTTGATGAATGGACGTGGTTGCCATGTCATTGTAAATTATGGAACATGCTGGATTAAGATCTCCGAAGCTGCCAAGTGTAAATGAAGTTGTATAATTACGAGTGAGTAGAAGCGAGTCAGTCAATTTAATATTGATTACATCGATGAACTAGAGTGTTTAGTATGTAAATTGAAAACGTATGTGAATTGTCGAAACGTGTATATTTTCTTCATAACCTCCACGATACTATGGAGGGTATCTTAACTTTGTCATTCCGTTTGTAATTAATCGAAATACTCATGTCAGACCCAAAAAAGGATATATATTTTTGATAATCGTAAAGTTCTACGTCGATTTAGCAATGTCCGTCTGTCACGCTATCTTTCGAACGAATTGTTTTCTTATAGCACCTCAATAACGGTATTTTGATGATTTTAGCGACATTATAGACCGGAATTATTTCAGCCTGTGACAATTGCGTATGCAGGTCCACGTCTTTGTATAACCCCCATATAACGATACCTCCTGATATTCGGTATTTTGATGGTTTTAGCGACATCATTCACCTGAATTGTTTCCAATTTTGTATTCGAAGTTCGTAATTGATCCTACAGCCTGTGACAGAAAATGATCTATGCAGGTCCACGTCTTCGTATAGGCTCCATATAACGATAACTTCTGATATTCGGTATTTTGATGGTTTTAGCGACATTATTTACCGGAATTGTTTTCAAATTGGTATTCGAAATTCATAATTGATCCTACAGCCTATGACAGACAATTGTGTTTGCAGGTCCGTGTCTTCGTATAGCCCATATATCACGGTACCTCCTTTTATTCGGTATTTTAATGATGTTAGCGAAATTATTCACTGGAATTGTTTCAAACTTCGTATTTGCAGTTCGTAATGGGTACTACAACCTATGACAGAAAATTATGTAACGATACCTCCCTTTATTCGGTATTTCGATGATATTAGCGACATTATTCACCGAAATTATTTTGCATTTCGTATTTGACATTCGGAATTGGTACTGTAGCCAATGACAAAAAAATACTTATGCAGGTCATCGTCTTCGTATAGCCCTCATATAACGATTTCCATTTAAACGATATTTTTGGACGGATTTTTTTTTTTTTAATTTTCAAGTTCCTTCCATATGCTGGAGGATATTAAAAGTTCTTGTTTTCTATTACCAACCTGATGTACGAACACCTCATGGCCTCCATCGTTGGGTGTCAGAAAACCCCATCCCTTGGCCACATTGAACCATTTGCACTTGCCATAACGAACGCCGGCAATTTCATGTGGGGAAATGTCTGAAAAAAAAAATGGGAAAAAGAAAATATGTGTTAAAAAAAACGAAATAATTTTCAAAATTTGAAATTGAAAGCGAATACGAAAATGTCGCCACAGATCATCATCAATTCTAACTTTTTCTATAGAAAATTTCTTTTTTATCGGTAATGTATTTTCCTAAAGAAAATCAGTGATGGCTTCTACTATGGAACATTTTCCAACATATAAAATATCTAGTAATAACTTCACAGGTTGAAAATATTATCAGTGGTATCTGAAAAGAAGTCTGTGAAGCCTTTTCTTAAAGAAAATGTTAATAGTGGCTCATTTTCTTAAAGAAAATTCTATCAGTGCTAATTTTTCCTGTAGAAGCTCTCATTGAAACTATTATCAGTGATGACTTTTCTTCTAAAATATTTAAATAACATATAATTTCATCAGTTAGTTCTGACTTGTTTCGCAAGTTAGGACTGATAAAATTATTAAAAAATTGTGACCATTTGTGGGTGAGTTCGCAGATATATATCGTCTTCATAAAAGATTTTATGTTAGCAAAAATGTCTGTATGTGTGAAATTTGAAAACTTCGCTTTCTTTGAGCTTTTTGTTTTCCAAAATCTTGAAGAAATGGTTCGATCTCTACCATCTTTATAAAAAATCTTGTGTTGATGGAAATATTGAGATGTACCAAGTCTGAATGGAATCTTATGTCAATTTCACGTTTTATGAGCTTCATGGGTATTCAAAATATTGACCCTTTGTGGGAGAGGTACCATTTTCACAGCGGATCTTGTGTTAGTAGAAATAATTTGATGTGTAAAATATGAAGAGAGCCTGATGCTTATTTTGAATTTTAGAATAATTTTGGTTATTCAAATCTTTAATATTTTGTGGGGGAGGTTCTAGAAGGAATGGCCTGATCTCTACAATCTTTATAACATTTATTGTGTCAATAGAAATATTGAGATGTGCCAAGTCTGAATGGATTCGGATGTTAATTTCGTGTTTTATGAGATCCATGGTTATTCAAAACTTTGACCCTTTGTGAGGGAGGTACCAGATAGAGTGAACCGATATATGCCATCTTCACACCAGATCTTGGATTAGCAAAAATATTGTGATGTGTGTGTGTAATTTGAAGACAATCGGACTCTTACATCGTATTTTATAAGAGTTATAATTGTTCAAAATTTTGACTCTTTGTGGGGGAGTTACTTGATGGAGTGGGCCGATATTGTCAATTTTCGCAGCTGACCTTGCACTGATGCAAATATTCAGATTTTTCTTTCTCTTTCTGTGCAGTAAAATATTTGTTTGAAAATTTCTAAATTTTGTGGGGGTGATACCAGAAGGAGTTCACCGACATTGCCCATCTCCGAACTCGGTCTAAGTTTGCCAGACAGACAGACGGACATCGCTACATCGACTTCAAATATCCTGAAACGGATTTGGTCCAAAGAGACCTAGGGTCTAAAACCGTTATTTCGATGAGGCACGTTTTGGCCTAATAAATGATTTATACTCTTTCTCTAGCCATATGATTGAGGGTATAACTAGCCATATGGCTGAGGGTATAAAAAGTCAGGCCTCAGTTTCTGTGGATGATTTTTTTCTAAATCAAATCAGGCCTCAGATCATGTGGACGACATTTTTTCGGTGGGAAAAAGTCAGCTCTTTGTGCCTATAGAAAAAAGTCTGTCCTCAATACTTGAAGATGATTTTTCTGTAGCCAAAAAGACAGTTCTCGGGATAAAATGTTTCTAAAAAAAAAAAAAGTTAGTGCTAATTCCTGGACTATGTTTTTCTTTTTAAAAGTCAGTCCCAAGTACTTGAGGAGAAAAATTTTTATGGGAATAATTAAGTCCCAGTTCCTGGGGACGAAAAAATAAAAAAAAATCAACCAGTTGGACCTGGATTTTTGGAGTTACTGCGGACATATTCTTGGAATAGGAAAAAAATCCAATCCTCAAAATGAACATTTCCTATAAAAAAGGCAGTCAGGATAAGATTTTTCTACAGAAAAAATTGGTTTCAGATGACGAAAAGAAATTTTTTTTCAGAAAAAAATTTCGTCCTGACAGCTTTTTTTTATAAAAAATTTTCATTCTGAGGATTGGATGTTTTTCCTATTCCAAAAATATGTCCGGAGAGAAAATTTTGCTATAAAATCAAGTCTTAACTCTGGAGATTTTTTTTTCTGATTCTGATGTCGAATCAATCCTCACATCCTGAAGATGACACTAAATCCTTAGTTCTAGTTCTCAGTTCCTGAGAAAAAATATTTGTTTCAGCTAGAATTAATTAAAAAAATCTCAAATTTCCAAAATTTTTGTAGAATAAAATTTAGGCTGTGTTTATGATTTTTTCAGTTTTCAGTTTCTAAGGAAGAAAATTTTTTATAGACAAAAATCATTCCTCACTTGCTGAGATCGATTTTTTTATAGAAATCACTTTTTCTGAAGAGATAAATCCTTATAATTTATATGGAAATGTTTTTCATGGATATGGTAATCCGTACTGTTCGTCATCCGTATCTGAAGTATTATTTCTAAATGTTGCTAATTAAAAATGTAATTCCTAATATTTCAAATCAATACCAACTTCCGAAAATATGACGACATTCCTTCTATTTGAATTCCATTAAAATGTTTAAAGATTGATTATCATAATAGCGGAATTGTTCAAACAAAAAATGGTTGTCTGCAACGCAATTTGTATGAATATCGATTTGTTCAAACATTTTCAAACAATTATCGAGTGAACCACCACTCCCTCCACTCTGGGATTTAGATGTGTCAGCCGTTTCCTAGAAATGTTTGAACGACCTATTTTTGATGCGATGTTTGAGTGGTGTCATTTAGATTTTTATCGTTTTTTGTTTTGAAGTTTGTGAAAGTTGTGTTTTCTTTGTTTGTTGCTTTGATATTAAGTTTCGTCGTTTTGTTTCCCCCCCTCACACACACGCGGGCACATATCGTTGTTGTCTTCAATATATTTAAATGTTGATGGACAGTGAAACCTTCGTCAAATGCGATAAATACTCCAGTACTTGCGGTATAAAATTATCTTAGTAAATTATGGACACTTTTATAGAACGAGATATCTGTCATACCAAAATTTGTACCAATCGGATATTGGCTATGATATATACAACTCATACCCAACTGCGATTAAACATCCCACACCATTTGATGACAATTTGAAAAACCCAAAAACAAACGTCATTGATCTTTCCCTTCCATAATGAACATTTCTTCCTACTTGTTTTTATTTTTTAAATCCAAATTTTAAAGGTTCTACTGTACTTTCATTCAGATTGAAGTCGTTCAAGAGTTAATTAAATAAAATATGGCCCAATCAGCACAACGTTAATACATTCATTAAACATGCTCCAGTGTCACCGACTGCATCGATGTGTATGTGTTTGGCCGTGTATTTGTGTGACTGAAAAAATGTTTGGGGAGACACGCTTTGTTGGTGGGTGTCCCTCTTTGTCAAACGTTTCGTGTTTTGGTGTTGGCTAATGTTTGATCAAACTAATTGGTATTGTTTGGTAGATATGGTTTGGTTATTGGTCTCAACGCTGTCGTATATCTTTCCTCATATCAGTTTGAGTGCGCTTAAGTATGTGTGCGGTACACAGACACATACCCTCACTGTAAGAGATTTGTGGCCACTTTCCTACCGAATTTTTCTTTTCACTCAATTTTTATACCCTTCACCATACATAGTAATATAATAATAATTTTAGACCCAACAAAGTATATATATTCTTGATCAACGTAAAATTCTAAGACGATCTAGCCCTTCCCGTATGTTGTAATTTCGCTACAGTCAAAACCAATTAAGATAGGAAGCTAAAATTTTGCACAGATCTGTCTTTTGTCTGCAGACAGGTCAAGTTCGAAGATTGGCTATATCGGTCTACGATATCGTATAGCCCCCATATAACGGTACACCCGATATTCGGTATTTTGATGATTTTAGCCACATTTTTCAATGGAATTTTTTGAAATTCAACACAAGGAGTTCTTTATGGCCACTTTAACTCCCGACAAAGAATTGTCTAGGTCTACGATATCGTATATCCTCCATATAACGGCACCTCCCGATATTCGGTATTTTGATGATTTTATTCACATTTTTCAATCGAATTGTCTGAAAATTCACACAAGGAGCTCCTTGTAAATACTTTACCCCCTGGAAGAGAATTGTCTATGTAGATCCACGATATCGTATAGCCCCAATATAACGGTACCCCCGATATTCGATATTTTGACGATTTCAGGGACATTATTCACCGGCGGTCTATCAAATTTCGTATTTAGAGTTCGTAATGGGAAGTAAAGTCTATGACACAAAATTTTCTATGCAGGTCCAGGACTTCGTATAGGCTTTATATATCAGTACCTCCCTATATTCGGTATTTTGACGATTTTAGGTACTACATTCACCGAAATTGTTTGAAATTTCGTATTTGAAGTTCCTAATAGGTACTACATCCTGTGACAAAAAATTGTCTATACAGAACCAGGCCCCGATATTACCGTACATCCCTGTATTAGGTATGTTGATGATTTTAACTACATTATTAACCTGATTTTATTTTCAAGTTTCGTATTTGAACATTGTAATGGCTTATAGCAAAAGTTGCCTATGCAGGTCCACGTCTTCATATAGATCCAAATATAACTGGTACATTTGATACGACGAAAACGCACCTCATCGAAATAACGGTTAAAGACCTTAGGTCTCTTTAGACCAAATTCGTTTCAGAACATTTCAAGTCGATCTAGGGGTGTCCGTTCGTCTGTCTGGCTGCTGCGCACGATAACTCTTCAAGGGAGTAGCCGATTTGGGTCCAACCTTGGTAAATCGTAGTATTATTGTCAAACTTAAATCGAGTTTGTGCAAACTCTGCAAATATGGTGCGAAAATGGACAATGGACTCCATCAGGTACCTCCCCCACAAAAGGTCAAAATTTGGATTAATGCTAACTCTTATAAAGTATGAAATAAGAGTTCGATTGTCTTCAAATCACACATCACAATATTTTTATTAACCCAAGTTCTGGTGTGAAGATGGAATATATCGGTCCCCTCCTTCTGGTACCTCCCCCACAAAGTGTCAACATATTGAATATTCACGAAGCTCATAAAACTCAAAATTAACATGTGATTCCATTCAGACTTGGCACATCTCAATATTTCCATCAACACAAGATCTGTTATAAAGATGGTAGAGATCGGACCACTTTTTTGGTACCTCCCCCACAAAGGGTAAAATTTTTGAATAACAAAAACGATTAAAAAATCCAAAATAAGCATTCGATTCTCTTCATATTTCACACATCCTTTTATTTGAACTAACATAATATCTGCTGTGAAGATGGGATATTTCGGTCCACTCCTAATTAACATCCGATTCCATTCAGACTTGACACATCTCAACAATCCGTTGGACTATTGTGCCGGCCATAATTCGCGCCAAAGATGACCAATTCGAACAAATCTAAACTTATTCTAAAATTTGATGCTATTTCCGACATTTTTTGCTTTCGTTCAATAAAATTTAAAAAAAATAAAAATTATGACGTTTGATTTTGTTGCAGTTTTTTTATCTCACCCTGTACTTCATAGAGGGTCAACCATTTTTAAAAATCATAAGAGAAGTCAAAATATATTTAAATAATCGAACATTGACTGAGGGTACATACCTGTCGGCAAAACTGACTAATACTTTTTGACTTGTTTTTCACTTGTGTTAAAGGCATATGGAAGGCATATCGCATTTTACCTCATCTACACGAAACAACATCCAACCCGACCAATTTCTGCTGTACAAATACCCAAATGGTGACTGGCAACATTGCACAACAAACAAATACGCATTTTATTTCATCGGTCGTATCAAACATGATGGTGGTCGGAAGGTCTGGTACTACGCAGCTAAGACAGTTTTTAGTGCATGGTGGCGTTATCACACACATTCCGTTGTATAGTATTATTGCTTCATTCAAAAAAATCCGAATGAAAAACAAAAAAACATTGTCAAGCGTGTGAATGGAATTTTATGTTTTTTTGGGGATTTTTGTTTTCGTTTTCTCTGTTTTTCTTTTGTTGTTTTTGTTCTTCATGTTAAGTAGAGAATAAAGAACCTAGAGAACTTGTATGTACTTCACTTTTTTTTTTTTGCGTTACACACACATTTTTCGTTTTATTTTGTTTTTTGTTTGCCAAAGGAAGAATGTGGATTTTTTTTTTTTTGGATAGTCATTGTCCTTTCGTTTGAAATGAACATGTTTTCCTGTGAGATCTTGTTAGATAATATCCTGGCATATGAGAAGAAAATCCAAAATAAAAAAAAAAATTATTTCCGTTTCGTAGAGTTAGCCATTTGCTGTGAGTGGAGAGGGTATAGAAGTAATAGAGTGTTCGCCAATTTTGGTTAAAAACGAAATACTATTGAGGAGGGGAAGCGATTTTGGGATTGAGCCAAATATCAATAAAGAATGGGCACCAAAGTAGTCAAAGAGCCAGGGGATACTTATTTTGTATTTGGACTGTAAAATAAGTATATATTCCTTTGGTCCCTGGAATATAAAATAACTATCTATTCCCCTGGCCCCTTGACTATTTTGGTGCCCATTTTTTATTGATATGTTGCTCAATCCCACAATCGCTTCCGCACGTCAATAATACTTTTTATTTAACCAAAACTGTCTAAAAATAATGAATTTTTAAAAGTCGCTATTAAACTTTCGAAATAATGTCAATTGAATATAGTAGTAGTACAGTAGTACCTTAATGAAAATGTTGTCCGATGCTAAATTCTTTATATCCTTGTTAAAAAATAATAGATAGAATTAAAAATTTGAATTAATCATAATCATATCAATAACATGATTTCGCCATGAAATTAAAGACCTTTTTTTATATTCGATATCGAATAATCTTTGACACTAATATCTGGATGCGGATTTTAGATTGATAAAATATGAGCATTTTAAACTCCATTAGCTAGCGGTTTTTAGCAAAATTTTCAATTTAATGAAATTAAAATTCAAAATTTTAACTTCATTTGATCGAAATTTATGTGATATCAAATACGCGAATTTGGATCCAGTGAAACATCCTGTAAGTAAGTTACCTGGAGACCAATGGAGATTAAATGGGAAATTCCAAAAAAGGACGGAATAACTTAAGCTAGAGAGTTGCCTCACTAGTTTGATATTATGAAGTAAAAATTCTAGGGTAAGGTTAGGTTGAAAAGAGGGGCGAAAACGATCACCACATGTCCTGGTGGACATACACTTAAGTCAGTATAGGTCTGTTTTACGCTCTTGACTAAGAGGTTTTGGTCTATTATAATTGAAATTCAGTTGCCCTTACAAAATTCCATAACTGATCAGATTTAGGTCTGGTATGTAGTCGGGATCTGATATTTGCCAACGTTGGGCATTGGCAGAAAAAGTGCTCCAAACTTTCATCATTGTCCCCGCATGCCCAGAATATGCTGTTATCTGCACAACCTCTCCTGTACAGATGAGCTTGTAGGCGCAGGTGACCCTTAAGGATTCCTGTTCCTACCTATTAATAAAATGTTTTTCGTTTTTATCTCATTGGGGTCGCCCATAGGATTCCATAGGGTGTTTTGTTTTTAAGTCCAGACGTGACGCATTTAGCGATATTGGATTGTCTAAGTTTACTGTTACTAACCCCCTGTCTGTTTTGGCGAGAGAGTTCGTTATCTCGTTACTCCTAATTCCCGTATGGCCTACGGCGTACTGAACCGTGTTGGGAATAATTGTAGATTAAATTTATACATTCCAATACGGCTTCGTGTTGACATTAAGCCAGTTCAGACACTCTGTAATCACTCGGACCTCCGCTTGAACAATCGTACTGTGATGGGGGAAGCGGAAAGAGATTATACCATATGGTTCTTCAATAAAAATTTCCAGTCCCGCTCTCTCCCCTAGCATTGAGCCGTCTGTAAAACAACAGCTTCCAGTCCGCATTTGTGAGAGGAATCCGTCGATCAACGAGTCTCTGGTCCAAGTAAATTTTTTTAGGCAATGAATCAACTGTAGGGAAGTGACAAGCTATGATCAACGTTGCCCGGGAAGACATGGATCTGGGCTCAGAAATCCTTATTACATCCCGTGTAAAATTTTATGAAATACCAGAATGTAGAGCGAGTGTCCTAAAACATAGAAGACAGATCTGTAATCGACATAGAGCCAACAAATAGGAACTTATAAACAGGGGTTCCTCCCCAAAGCCTATGCAACAGCTCTTGAGAAATTTGGCTCACTTTTGGCTTAAACTCCATTTTTTTATTTTTTTCCCCTTATTCCGGTAAAGGGTTTTTTTTAGTCAGGAACGGATTCATGTATCCGGATATTTGCCCGAAAGTCTGAGTTCAAGGCAGGGATCTACTAAGCCTATATAACCAATGTAGACTTCATTACACTATATCGCTTCTAAAATGTACTATAATTTTTTCTGGATCCAGAGATTTCAGTCTTTGATGTCGCACAACCCATCCTGTTTTCACTGAAATTATTATCCGAAGACCGCCTACATAGAAAGTGCTAAATTTGGTTCGTGTTGGGGTATAACCAACACCGCTTGAAAATACCACGGAGGAGTATACCTCAAGCTCAAGTCTCTCCATAGGTCTACTATATACAGGGTTGCCCATATTCGACGGACCTTTGGGCCCATTCCAATCGACGAGGCTTGTCCGCAAGCAACATTCTTGGACCGAGCCATGCCCAACTGCTGAGAACGGCGTTTTTGGGATGTTCTTGGGGACCTCTCAACACTGGCTCGTACGGCAGCGATATTCTCGGCCGATCGCCTTGGTCGACTTTTATATGGCCTCTCCGGATTAGAAAGAGCCTTACCAGTCGAAAATTTTTCGTATAAACGCTTAATGGTGTTCTTAGAAGGCGCACTTCTCACATTTTTTAATGTTTTAAGAGCACGTTGAGTTTTCACAATTGACTTCAATTGACACAATTGACTATTTCAGAGCGCTCGCGTGACGTGTATCGGTTCATGGTAAACATCTGCTTGGACTGGCGCTTCCAACGCGGTATGTCATTAAGCGATGTGACATCTCTGTCAAAAGTTATGGCGCTGCCAGATGGGATATGGGTAACCCTAAAAGCTCTTATCCATAACTTCAATACTTAAAAGGGCTTCAAAAGATCTTCTATAAACTGAAGGACTTTTTTAGGTAAGTCTGCTATACATAAAAGATCGTATATAAGTCTTCTATATATAAAACTTTTTATATACTAAGAAGACCTTAGGACGTCTATGCAATATGTCTTCTTTACATAAAATACCTTCTATAGCTCTTCAATATATAAAAGACTGTAAATAGGTTTTCTATGCATAGAATGTATTCTATATGTGTTATATATAGAGGAATTTCCGACATAGCCCATTTACGAACTCAGCCTGCCTACTGGCAAAATCCACATATGTGCACAATTTTAGCCTTTTATCTTAATTCGTTCGAATGTGATTACAGCAGACAG